TTATAAAAATTAGGTTTCATAGGGTGTTAGGAAGTAAATCTAACCCATTCTGTGAGAGAATGATAAGCTCTCCAGTCATCTGTGTTTGGTGGGACTTACTACCGACCCTGGTCCACTCAGTAGCCTTTGAACAGAAGGTACCATGGGCATCAGAAGAAAAGAAATCATCATATTACAAACAACAATAGTATATAGCTGTCATTTATTGAGCAGCTACTATGTGTCCAAAAAGATATTTTATAAACATTGTCTTTAATACTCAGGTTACCCATTAAAGATGTCATTATTTAGAGTTTATGGACCAGGAAATAGAGATTCAGAGCAACTAAATGATCTTTTCACTGTCTCGAAAGGGTTAACCCACTCTTACCCAGCCCTCCCTAATCAGACATGTAGTTATTTTACACAAATTCTTTTGAAATGGATCCTAGTTTGCCACATAAATGAGTCTTTAGCCCAGTGAGAGAATTTGCCTTTTGAGATGCCCAGAAGTAAGCCAAGTATCCTGCCATACCCAGGAGACTAGCACTTTCCACCCAGTGGGAGAAGACTTTGAGGGAAGATGGGATTGTTGCCAGGGGTTCAGGGATCCATACATACTAAGAATTGTCTGAAAAATGGGCGGAGAAGGTGGGAGAGAGGACACAACCCCCTTCACACTTTGAGGCTTGTGGACTAAAGAAATCCCAAATAGAATCCCCAAGCCTGGTGGCACTGTTTGTATCAGAGAGTCTCAAACTCTCTGTGGGAAGACACCAGTATTAGATTTTTATTCCTCCAGTCTGCTTTGGACCAATATTTGTAAAAAGCACAGTAGAATTAAATTACTGTTAATTTCTGCAGTTGTTTTTTGGAGTAGGGGACCCCAACCCTCCTGGGCCACAGAACTGAGACGCACAGGTGAGCTGTGGGCAAGCAAGACGCTTCATTTGTATTTCTAGCTTCTCCCCATCACTCGCAGTAGCACCTGAGCTCCCCCTCCTGTCAGATCAGCGGTGGCATTAGATTCTTATGGGAGTGCAAACCTATTGTGAACTGTGCAGGTGAGGGATCTAGGCTGCATCCTCCTTATGAGAATCTAACGCCTGATGGTCTGTCCCTATCTTCCATTACCCCCAGTTAGTTGCAGGAAAACAAGCTCAGGGCTCCCACTGAGTCTGCATTATGGTGAATTATATAATTATTTCCTTACATATTACAATGTAATAATAATAGAAACAAAGTGCATAGTAAACGTAACACACTTGAGTCATCCTGAAACCATACCCCACCCTGTCTTTGAAAAAATTGTCTTCCCTGAAACTGGTCCCTGGTTCCAAAAAGGATGGGGGTTGCTGTCTTGGAGGATCAGTCACACACTGTTCATGTTCTGGTACAGCCTATGGACCACACCGTGGCTAACACTGGCTTATACATTTTAACACATTAAAAGTATTGCAATTGTCTTCATGTTATTTTAGTACAGTATTTCTGAAAAGAATCAATTCACAGTGTACTATACTATTGAGACACAGGTTTAGCTGTGTAGTTAAACAAAATCTTTCAACCCTGTCAGTGCATTTCTGAGACCGTACAACCTCTTTAGAGACCAGCATCAAAAGTCTATTAGGCACACAAGGGTTTTAAGCACAGAGTATCAAATGCTACTGACCTCTGTATTAGACCCTGCTCATGCATTTATATCTTACTACTTTTCGCATGTATTAAATGGTGTTGTGATTAATAAAACATAATTTAGGTAACGACTCTGAGGAATTTAAATTAGCTGCTTGATTTTTTTCCTCTACTCAATCAGTACTGCAAGTATAGCTGCTATCCTGTGGGAGAATCGACAGAAGTCTGACATTAAAAAGAAATCCTTTTACTTGCAATCTTTGATAACCACTTTTGCACACAGACCTTGAGAGAGATGCATGAAAGTTGGCCAATTCCACTACATTCGCAGAATCGCTAATACCAGGACACTATTGTCTCGCCTGGGGCTCTCTCTCAGAGAGAGATCTTGCAGTCCAAAGGGCTTGTGGGAAGTGGTTCCTTTTGTTCCTTGACCTCAGGTTTTCTATGAGAAAAAAGCAATGCCTTCTTATTCATCTGGTAACATCCAGCATGCCAGGCACTGGTTTAGGCTGCAGGGAAGGAACCTCTATCTTCGGGAGGCTCAGGAGGAAGCGTGTGGAAGGTTGGGTCATAACACTGTTCACTCCCCGCCTCTCTCCTGAAGCGAGGTGTATGGGCAGGAGCTGGACTTCGGCCCCTCATGCATCTGACCCCTGAACAATCTTTTTCAGCCTTTGGTACTGGGCCTATGCAGGTTTTTGTTTAGTGTAAGAACTGAGCTTAGTACACAAAAATGACAACAATAGGAACTTTAAAAATGGCTTACAAACTTTGTCTGGATTTCCAGGCAGGAGAATGTGGGTTGTAAGCTGGCTTCCTTGGCACCAAGCAGTGAGACATGGAGGGCTCAGGGTGGTGAGGCTGGCTGGGGAACACGCAGAGGCAGGAGCAGAACTGCAAAGGGCTGTTGATGGCCCCTGACAAAGGCAGGGGTAGCTTGTGTGCCTGAGGCAGGAAAGGACTGATTTTTCTGAGTTAAGGAAGAGACAATTCGCAAGGCAGAAGGGGCATATCTTTTTTTTTCTTTGTGGTGGTCTCTGGAGACAGGTAAAATTTTGTGGTTTTCCCATGTTGGGGAAATCCTCCTGGACCAATGCTTCTCAAACTTCAGTGTGCATGTGAATAACCTGGGGATCTTGCCAAAATGCAGACCACATGCAGCAGGGCTGGAGCAGTGCCGGAGATTCTGTTTCCAACAGGCTCCCTCCTGGGTGAGACTGCGGCTGCTGCTCTGTGATAGTGTTGGTCCGCAGGCTATATCTTGAATAGAAATACCTAGGACCCACCTGGTGGCCTGGAATTATGGGAAATGGCCTAACCTGCTTTCTGGGAAGCATTGACCCCTGTTTCAGCCACTCCTGCATACCCTGATCACTGCGTTGTCTGCAGTAGCTTTTTTTCTCTCAAGGACTGTGAATAGTCAATGGAAATCTTGCTGAAGGCTATATATTGGTTGCTGTGTTTAATCTTTTAAAAAAATTTTTGTGCTGTTGAGTACATCTTCTTCCAGGCAAAATGACAGCAGGATCTGTTGTGAACAATCAAGGCCTGCTCAATCCCATATTATTACAATGCACTGCCTTGACCCACATATCTTGAATATGGTAGGGAATACTTCCCTGTAGTAAATCCTAATGAAGAGGGCTTTGCCATTCAATCATAAAACAATGAGCTCATATGTTATGTTTGGTGAGTGGATAATGCCGCCGCAACCTTTTAAAGATGAATGGATTACAGAGTATATGTGTAAAAGGAACTAAAGCCATTGATTATTTTCTGGGCATTGAAGTCAGCTGTTACGTATAGCATTGTCATTTGAGCCTCCTGGATTAAAAAACAATTGCAGAAATTTAAAAACGAATTCCATTTTTATGTTTTGTCTCTTTTGAGCTACGTCAGATGGTTTCTCAGGAAGGACGTTACAAACTTGAAGCTCACTCAAAATCAAACTCGAAAGTGATTTTGGGAAAATAGAGGTTTCATATCACACTGTGCGCTTATAAGCCCCAGTCCTTCACCCAGTGCAGCACTTCCCAGGTTTTTTGGGGGGCAGTGACCCCTGTTCCAGCCTCACTGGCATTGCCTTAACACTGTAGTGTCAGCAGCCACTTTTCTTCTCTCAGGGGCTTGAGTAGTCGTTGGAGATTTTGCTGTAGGGTGTGGCTTTCCTAGCCAACTTCCTGAGCTGATGGTGGTGGTTTTCAATAAAAAGATCATTATGTAACATAGACCAAACTGATCTTTCAAAACTATTTTTAGTGAATTGAAAAAGTGGCTCACTTAATGCCTCTAATTTCTTCATTTATTTCAATAGGTCACATCCGTAAAACGTTTCATGGGTCTGTCAGCAACTTTGATTGAAGCAGAAATTAATCTTATCAGATATCCTGATGAGGGCTTAGAGGGGTCTTTACTATAAAGAGGTTTTTGTTGTAGTGGTATTTATCTTAATCAGATTTGGCTGATACCTCTTTCACTCATAGAATTTTAGAAGGAAAAATAACCTAACCAACTTAGAAATTATCTAGTCCAACCATCTTATTTTACCAAAGTAGAAACACCCAAGGTCACGCAGGCCTGTCTTTGGATCTTAGTCCTGGTCTCCCCAGGGATCTCCCACCCTGCCTTTCTGTGATGGTTTATGGAAAGGATACAGTGGCTTTGAGGCCCAAGGAAGCAGGTTCCCCACCATTCCTGCTGAGAGCCAGGGAATTTAAATACCACTCACACCATTGCCAAACTCACCAGACCCTGTCTCCTGGCAGAGCTGCAGTGGACTTGTGGATGCTCCAGGGAGTCAAAGTGACTTGGAAGGAGCCCACATACTGCAGCCGGTGGGCCTGCCCCAAATCCTGCCCTGCTCCATTCAAGTTGTGTGACTGAGCAAGTCACCAAACCCCTTTGTGGTTCAGTTTCCTTGGATATAAAATGAGAACCTTCCTGATAGGATCCTTGTGAGAACTGAATGAATGAATATGTGTCAAGCAATTAGAACAAACAGGCCACGTATGTGTTACATGAGAGTTTCCAAACTGTGGACCTCCACAAGTTATTGGGTTGTAAAATTGGCACTCTGAGTCATAAATAGCATTAGACAAATTAAATGGCAGGTATTACTTTTGGTTCCTCTTTTGGGGTCTTTTTGGTTCTCCGTGTGTGTGTGTGTGTGTGTGTGTGTGTGTGTGTGTGTAATGGCTGACAATATAAAATGTATTTCTCATTGAGGATTTGTGGTTAAAAGAGTTTGGAAGCCCCTTCTTCAGGTACTAGAGGGAGCAAATTTATTTTTCTGAGCATGGTCCCACGGCGGTGAACAAGGCCCCCTGTGGACATGAATGCACAAGGTGAGCTCTGGCTGAGACTTAAATGTGCTTCTTTTGCAGAGGGAAACCAAAGGACAGTTTCTCATTGACCACATCTGCAACTACTACAGCCTGCTGGAGAAGGACTACTTTGGCATTCGCTATGTGGACCCAGAGAAGCAAAGGGTAAGAGCTGATTTCTGTCTGGAGCCATTTTCAGGGAGTGACCCAGACTGTGGGGCACTGTAGGGGTTCCTCTCGAAGCCCTGGTGATGCCCTTGTTCTCACAGATTGTTGGCCACGTGAAACGCTGTGTGAGCGGAAAAGGCTGACACTGTCCTCATCGGAGTGGGTGGAGCAGGAGATGGGAAAAGTTACCCTTGGCCTTTCTAGAAGGCTGTTCCCACCTGCTTAGAAGAGAGAATGTCCCTGTGCCCTTTGAACCCAGAGTTTCCCAAAGTCCTTTAAACAATGGCTACATAAAATTTCACTGTGGAGAAAATCAATCCCCCAACCCCACTCACTATGAAAAGTTATTGAGGGCCGGGCACGATGGCTCATGCCTGTAATCCCAGCACTTTGGGAGGCTGAGGCTGGCGGATCACAAGGTCAAGAGATCAAGGCCATCCTGGCCAACATGGTGAAACCCCATCTCTACTAAAAAATACAAAAATTAGCTGGGCTTGGTGGTGTGTGCCTGTAGTCCCAGCTACTCGGGAAGCTGAGGCAGGAGAATCGCTTGAACTCGGGAGGCAGAAGTTGCAGTGAGCTGGGATCGTGCCATTGCACTCTGGCCTGGCAACAGAGTGAGACTCTATCTCAAAAAAACCAAAAAACAAACAAACAAAAAGCTATTGAGGCTGGGCTGGCTCAGTGGCTCACATCTGTAATCCTAGCACTTTGGGAGACCTAGATGAATGGACCACTTGAGCCCAGGAGTTCAAGACTAGCCCAGGCAACATGGCAAAACTCCACCTCTACAAAAAATAAAAACATTAGCTGGGCATGGTGGCATGTACCTATAGTCACAGCTACTTGGGAGACTGAGGTGGTGCAGAATAGCTTCAGCCCAGAAGGTCAAGGTTGCAGTGATCTGTGATGGGGCCACTACACTCCAGTCTGGGTTACAGAGCAAGATCCTGTCTCAAAAAAAAAAAAAAAAAAAGCTATTGGTTGGGAGAATTATTGAGAAGTGATTGCTTAATGGGTATAGGGTTTTCTTTTCAGGGGATGAACATGTTTGAAACTTCATACTGATGGTGGTTACCACTGAAATATACACTTTAAAATGGTTAATTTTGTTACGTGAATTTCACCTCCATTTTTTTGAACAAAATTTAGAGAGATGAAGAGTTTAAGTCACTTCAGAAGCTGCTGCTTGGGTACCACTAAACGTAAAAGCCCCTGTTTTATTCTTGCTCCTGGAGATACCTACCCTTTCTGGTATCTGTTGGTGGGTAAGGGTGAGCAGGAGAGTCTCATCTTTTGACTGGTATAGCAGCCCAGATGTGTTCAATGTAGCATATGCCAGAACCACGTGATGTGTGCCCTTCATATCCAAAGACCCCTGGGAATTTCCACCCCAGCTCCTGGGGTGGGTCCCAGTCATGGGTTCGGAGGTTTCAGCCAAGGGCTTGGAGGCTCAGTACACACTCGGGTCTCTGCAGGGCAGGGTGTGAAGGGGTAACCTGGGGGTGGCCTGGAAGTGAGGATAGGACCCTTCTGCCTTCTTTAATTTGCTCTCCTCCTCCTCAGTGTTCCTGATCTTCTTCCTGTCTCTTCTTTCCTCCCTGGCGCCTCATTTGGCTCTTAGTTTAGTATTTACTGACCCAGTACCACGAGGAAAGGCTCACAGAGTGTATCTCTGTAAAGAAGAGGGTATTTAAGAAATAGATTAGATTTGCACCTGAAACAGTGAATTTTATTTTGCTCTTGGAGTCCTAAGAACCCAAGTTTATATAAAGGGATGCAATGAAGTATTACAGCTCAGAAGGATTTTGGTTCCCTGTAGTACTTGCAGTAACCTTTGGATGGTCCAGGAATTCACCTGAGTTGAGAGGAAGGTGGCAGGACAGTGGTGGGCACATAGGGCTGGCATGATGTCAGGGAGGGAGGGACGCATGTGGTGTTTACTTGGTAACACTGGTTCCCAGATCTGGCCCCATGAGAAAATCACCTTAGTTACTTGCTTAAAATGCATAGTGTGGACTCTATTCCAGACCTTCTAAATCAGAACCCATGGGGCTAGGGCCAGGAACATGTATTTAGCCTATTCCTATTCTAATTTTGATGCAGCCAAGCCAGCTTTGGTCTGGGGACCATAACATAAAAACATTCATAGCCATAATTTTTTATAGCTTATGAAGATATTACACTTGTAACAGATGGAAAGAAGCTCAAAGAAGTTGTTACTTGTCCCAGGTTTCACAGTTAGTAAGTGGTAGAGTGAGTGTTTGCGTTTAGGATTCTAGATCAAAGTCCCTGTGGACCAAATAAACTCTGGACTATGTAAGTCCTCTAATCCCCACTGCAAACGGGTTATTTTGTGCAAAATTTAATTCTAAATGATAAATAGCCAGCCTGCAGAAGTAACTCTAGCTACTATTTGGTTGAACATCTATCATGTGCCATGAATTTTACTCACTTTAGTCTCGTCTTGTTGAAAGGCCTTTAAGGAAGGGTCAGAGAGGAACAGTGGCTTACATAAGGCAAGACATTAAGGAACAATTGGTGTAACAAAATAACAATAGTATTGGATTATAACCCATAGAATAAAATAAATATCCATGAGTCCATACTATTATAAATAATTAATTGAATAAAAATTAAAGGGAAGACTTGAGTCAGCTCTTCCACACAGAAGAATTTTAATTAATAAATGTAGACAGATGAGGGAAATAGAAAATCACCATACACAATAATTATTGCAGGCAAGAACTAAAATTCGTGTGTAAAAGTTTAAGGAGAAACAGGAAATTTGCATAGTCTCAAAGTATCCCCTCCTTTTCAAGGCATTTTTTAATTACAAAGGGAAAAATAATATCTCTATAGTAGAGAAACATGGAAGATACCACTTTAACCAAGAGACCAAGATTATCATCACCAGTAAGAAGACATATTAACATCAAGTACCTCCTGATACCATGCACTGAGAAGTGTATATCATCTTTATGGTGTTCTTCCCAATAATACATAACCTCAATCAAATATTGAGAAAACATCAGGCAAATTCAATGCGAGGGACATTCTCCAAGATAACTGACCTTCAAAAGTGTGGAGGTCATGAAAAAGAAGGACAAACTGGATTCACAGTGAGAGACTAGAGAGACACGTCAGCTCAAGGCAATGTGGGATCCTGAAACATAGAGAAGTATAGTAGTGGGAAAACTGGGTGAACTCCACAGAAAGTCTGTAGTTTAATTAATGCTATTGTGCTAATATTGGCTTCTTATTTTGATAATTGTACTGTGATTACACAGGATGCTAACATTAGGGGAGGATGACTGAAGGTTATACTTTACCATTTTTACAACTTTTTTCATATGTTTAAAATTATTAAAAATTTAAACTAAAGTTATAAAAGAGAAGTGTTTAGGTTGTTTCTTGTTCTTTATATTTTTAGTCGATTTAATGTGATTTTTAATGACCAGACTTGGGTAGTAAAGGAAAGAATGGGGGCCACCCTCAAAACAAAACTGTCTTATCTGATGTAGCTACTAAATTGCTTGGAGGTGTTCCTGAATGCTTCCCTTTTTTCTCTGCATCATACAGCTGTCATAGGCTTTTGATTTTGAGAATACAATGTGAATGAAGCTTTCACTTGGGTTGCAGGGTAGCTGCTGCATGCAACTGCAAGGACTTTGGACTCAGAAAGATATGACTTCAAAATCCCATTTGTCCTGATTAGTCAGCTGTGTGATCTTGACCAAGCTATGCAGCCCTCTGAGTCTTTGTCCTGATGGATAAAGCAGGTAGCAATACTTACCTATAGAGCTGATATGAAAATGAAAGATAAGGTATATCAATGCTTAGCACAAGGTATACCTTGGGTACATGGTATGTGTTATTTTCACTCTTAGTTGTTATTATTATGCTTATAATTATTATGCATTGGCTAGGTCCAGGTGAGACATGAGGAAACACAGTCGTGATTAGCATCTCTAAAACTTAGAAATGTTTATAAGAACATCTTTTAAAGGCAACAGGCACTACTATTAAGATCTTTGGAGAGAGTAGGAAGAAAATGGGCCTTGGATAATTAAAAAGAATGGACTCAAAGACACAAACAGAGACATGCTGGTATGGACATTTTATGCAGATATTAACTGATCAACATTTTTTTCACCAGCTCCTGCATTTTTCTTAATGGCAAGTAAAGCTGATGAGCTATTTGGATATAAAGCTAATTAAATGAGAAAAATCAAGTGAGTTAGAGAAGCTGAAGTGAAAGCTACCTCTGCCTTGGAGGCTGCTGGTTTGCCTACAACTTGATTTACAGTAAACCATTGTTGAATATTAAATATTTAGCACAATTACATTTGGAACACCATATGTTTGGCAAGATGTCTCATGCCCCAGATGCTCTGGAAGCGGGAAAAACTGAGTCAGGAAATGACGACTATCTTTTGATATTTTATTGTCAAGGGCCCAGCATTTCCATTATTATTTTTTAAATTTGATATAGGGAAGAATAGGTTGAATTCTGGCCAATAAAAAAATTCCGTCAGTTTCTACGACATTCATCTTCTAAGGAACATGTGTAATCTTAGTTGCCTGCGATTAGGGAAAAGGTGGGTGGCATTCTCCCCATTTAACTGATGGAGAAAACTGGGACGATAAGTTTAGAAGTAATTCTAGAAGGAGGTAGTACTTGGCTTAAGTTTAGATTTTTTTTTTCTTTTTTACGCCAGTATATTCTTTTTGCCACTTCTGTTCAGGCATTTGGGTAACTTCCCTTTGGAAAGATGAAGTTTTTGAAATAATTAGCTGGATTTCTTAGCTCTAGTTTCCATGGCTACGGTTTGAAATGTCTATTGTCCTGGGTTTTCCCCTTTTGTTTTTCTACCCTTTTTCTTTCCCCAAATCCAGCTAAGGAAGTCACCCCTCACCCTTTGCCGTAGAGCTGAGTGCCCCAGCTCCCAGCCCAGCCGGGGCAGGAATTACACTAGAACTGGGTTGTAGGATGC